AGTTTCGTGTTCGCCCCCCCCCCCCCCCTTATTTTCATTGCTCTGTATTGTGATACATAACTGTTAATTGCAATGCGTTATGGTTCCATATTATTGTGTATCCACCTCTGTGTTTACAGTGGATAGGCCCAACAGACCTCTTTAGTTTTTTTGTATCAGCAACAACTTAATTTGCTGTTTAGCTGCTGGGCCACCTTTACCTATATAAGTATAGGGTCTAGGAGAGCTCTTGTACAGTAGAGAACAATATAGAAAGGAGATCAGACCCGGTGAACGAGGATCATCCCAACATTTATAGGGTTATTCACAAAAGGGTGAAGAGTTTGGAGAAGGCAGGAGACGTGAACAATCTAGGACAGTGGTCTCAAAGTACCGACCCCCGAGCCATTTGCGGCCCGCGCGCCGGTACTATGTGGCCCGCAGCCAGCTCAGAAGTCAGGTATGCGGTCACAGACCGCGTACCTGACTTGCGGGAGTAGCTACACGGTGTGAATCTATGTCAGATGCAGACCGTGTAGCTGATTCTGTGCCGGCACTCGGATCCTTTCGGCCAGCGCTCTTTCAGTGAACGCTGGCTGAAAGGATTGCTTGGTAAGGTCTGCAGCAGACCTAACCAATCAACCACTGGATCACCATGGATCGATGTGCCTCCTCACAGCCTCCTCCCTGCAAAAAGGTAAGCAGGAGAGGGGGGTCTGTAGTTTATTTTACGTGCGGGAGGACAACTGGGAATTATTTCACACACTTTTATTTATATCTATATAAATGCATGGGGGGGGGGTGTATTAATTTATATGTACAGGGGTAGTATTTTTTTTTACGTATACGAGGGGGAATAGAAGTGTACTAGGCTCCATTCACACCTCTATCTTTAGGTGCAATTAGGGATTCCTGCCTCAGGAACTTGCCTTTTCCTGCAGCAGAAATCTCTAATCTGACGTTTAAAAGTGAAAGCTGTCACCTATTCAAGTTAATGATCAGGTGACAGAAGTTGCATGTAAACGCCTGCACACCGCATGTAAAGATATGTGATATGATTACATTTGGTTAGGAATCAATCACTCTCCCTGAATGCAATGAGTGTGCATCCAGGGAGAGTGTTTTCTAACCGCATGTAATAATATCACATATCATTGCATGCAGTATGCAGGAGTTTACATGAAACTTCTGTCACCTGATCATTAACTTGAATAGGTGACAGCTGACACTTTTAAACGCCAGATTAGGGATTCCTGCTGCAGGAAAATGCAAGTTTCTGATGCAGGAATCGCTAGCCGCACCTAAACCTACAGATATGAATGGGGCCTTATTGTGAGTGTATATTAGCGTCTGTAGTACCAAACCGGATATAGTTAAAAAATATTTAAACTATGAAATTTGCCAAGGGGCCCCCATGAGAGAAAAAATGTGTCGACTGGCCCCTGAGTGAATTGAGTTTGAGACCCCTGATCTAGGACAAAATATCTGAACTGGATAATGACCTGAATTGGAGAACTTTTACAAGTTCTATTTTGTCCTAGATTGCTCACTTCTCCTGCCTTCTCCAAACTCTTCACCCTTTTGTGAATAATCCTGTTAGTCTCAAATTGAGTGAGTGATGGGCGATCGTAAGGCAGACGAATAGTAGAGGTCACAAAGTGCTTTATTTTTAGGTATTGATAGGGGGAGTGTAACATAATTGGGTTAGAAAGGGAACGTCTGTTGGCTAGGGAGAGCCAGAGAAGATTATATATATTCCAAAATCCTGCAAAAAGCTATTGAAGTGCGATTTGCAGTTCAATAGCTTATTTCAAGTTTAAAGGTGATACTAGGGGCCTTTTGGACCCCCAGTATACCCTTAAAGCGTACCTGTCACTACCAATATGCTATCACATGGGGGGGCTTGTAAGCCCCCCTATGTGATAGCAATTAAAATAAAGTAAAAAAACAAACAAAAAAAATCCCAGTTTTTAAAATAAATATTAAATAAAATAAATGTGAAAATAATAAAAAAAATTAAAGTCCCCCGCCCCTGCGAGCATGTGCGTTTTCGCGTAAACACGCGTTGTGTGCACCTACATATGAAAACAATGATCACGCTACACATGTTGGGTTTCGCTGCGCACGCCAGAGTGAGAGCAATTATGAGTATGATTATCTCTAAACTGATGACCTCTGGGGGCTTTTAAAGCATCGTCTATGGACTTTTTGGGGTACTGAATTCTGTTGCAGTTTCACAGACGCACACAATTTTTAACCTGGGCATGTTGGGTATCTATTTATTTGTAAACTCATCTTTTATATTTAAAAAAATGGGTATTTAATTGTGTTTTAGGGCATTTAAGTGCATTTTTTATTACATTCTGGGGTTTGATAAGAAGTTGCGCTAAGACCATGCAACATAAAAATGTGCAACTGCCACCATTTTATTCTATAGGGTCTTGGCTTTCAGAAAATATATCATGTTTGGAGGTTTTAAGTAACTTCAAGGCCTAAAATGTGGATTATAACATGTAAACAAAAAATGAAAAAAAAAGGCCTCGGCCATGGAGGGGTTAATACCATAAGTAATAACAGGATAACAGATGTTTACTATAGGAGTATATAGCAAATTGGAAATTCTAGAGAAATTCTTAAATTGCTGTTTAACTAAACCCACTAGATTTTAGTCGACTAAATCTACTGTAGATTTAGTCGACTAAAATCTTATGAAATTTAGTCGACTAAAACTAAATCAATTTAGATGATTAAAATATGACTAAAACTAAATGGCATTTTAGTCAAAAGATTATGACTAAAACTAAATCGAAACTTGCTGTCAAAAATAACACTGGTGTAGATCAGTGTCCAGGAATGGCTCATTCAGACAATGTTTGAGTCAACACAATGTGAGGCCACATTTGACCAACATAGAAGTATGTTTAAACTGTTTGGCTTGAATTCCTTATACACTCAATCCAAAAACACAAGTGTTCCCTATGATCACTTTTCCAAACATGGCTTATAGGGCTGAAATCAGCCGTACCAGCCTGAAGTGAATAGCCGAACAGTGTTCGGCTCACTTCACTTCTGATCGGTCATTCACTCGGCTGCCCTCGGCAGCTTTGTGAATAGACCCCTAAGTGTTAATATTGTTTTTATCCTTACTTTTGATTGTGACAGAGTACAAATCAGAAAAAGTGTGATATTCAATATGTTTACTGTCTTTTAGAAATGGATAAAATTTAAAAGAGATTTTGAAAATTTTAGAACAACCTGCATACCATGGGAAATGAAGATCAAAGAAGTGGAAAGTACGTAAGATCTGTGTTTCTTCATATTTGGGGGGGGGGGGGGGGGGCAG